CCCCCCCCCCACACTGAGACGAGTGACTAAACCAGTGACGCATTCTGAACATCCTGAAATGGGGAGCACTTTGGGAATCTTCGACATCTAATATAACGACGAGCTGGATAATAAAAGTACTTAATCTCTCCTCTGTGCCAGTAAATGACTGTTAAGTCCCTCCCCCTCCTTCCCCCCAGGCTGCGCTGAAGTAGTCGTCCCATGAGACCCTCAGATGTCTTTAGCCATAGCTATATTAATATCAAGGGCATAAAGGCAAATTGATTAATCAGTAACAGATCTGTGGAAATGCAGCTGTAAAAGGTAACACATAGTGGGCATTAAATAAGTATTATGACACAGGTCAAGGTCCCGCTCATAAAAGTTACAGTAGAATGCCTCTGTTGGCTGCCGTTTGCCCTTTCATGGGAAATCACCTTGGTACACATGCATGGTAACAGAACGTCTTGCCTAAGGTAATGATTACTTCATCAAGCTATGAGCCATTGTTTACAGCCCTCAAGCATGTACTGCCAAATTACCTATCGCAGCTTAGAAGGCCGGCTAAATTAGCTAGATAGCTGATGGGCTTTGAGCCTAGTGAAGGGGAAAGCAAATATTACGAGGGTGCTGGGCGATTTTACGCAGGGCGCACATCCATCCTATCAGCTGCTTCCTGCCCGCGGCGTGTGTCGCTGCTTGTGTGTCAGTTTCCCCTAGTCCTGTTATCAGTTAATAAAACTGGCTGCCACACCCCTCTGCAGTGCCCGTGACACCACCGTCACGTCACCATCACAGTGCCAGCCCACTCGACCGAAGAACCGAGATTAGTGACACCTGGCATACCCTCAAGCTGAGAGTCCGGTTATGAATTTATCTCCACCGACAAAGAAACAGACTTTCCAGGTCTGGAAGTTTCCGCGAGCTTTGTCCCCAGGAAGTGTGATAGCTTAGGCCCGTTGCGGGAGAGTGACACCGGCCTATTCGAAAGCCACTTTTCGCACCTTCACGTGGGGATTCGCTTCATGGGCCGTGCTGATGAATTTTAGAGGGAGATAGACGAGGAAGAGAAGCGGCTGTCGAGTTTCTGGGTCAGAAAGGTAAAGCGTGGCTTAAGAAGCGGGGAGACGTCGTCGTGTGTGTAACTGAGATAAAGTTCCTTGGAAGACCCCCCCCCCCTGCCAAAGTGTGTTGGCCATGGACTGCTGGCCAATTGGCAGGCCTCTGCCAGTGACCCGCTCTCACCTCAGACGCCTGCTCGCCGTGTCGGCTTTGTTCTACTTTCCAGTAAACAGCTGACCAAACACTTTTGTTATCTGGATTGGGGGATTTTTTTGGAGTCTCCAAACTGATCCTCTTTGAAGTCTTTAATTTATTATTAATTTTTTTTTATCTTACCCCAGGATGGGGGGACACCATGTCCTCGGTGTCCCTGCCTTATGATCCGAGGGAGAGCCCCCAGTCTTACTGTAACACACACACATACACACACACACACACACACACACACACACACACACACACATTCAAATCTGGCCCTGCTGTACTCCATAACCTGGGTGCACGGATTTTCAGTCCCATACAGTGCTGACATGTCGCCGATCTTTCTGAAAGGTTGCTGTAAGACTGGATCCAGTTGCTGTAAGACTGGATCCAGTTGCTGTAAGACTGGATCCAGTTGCTGTAAGACTGGATCCAGTTGCTGTAAGACTGGATCCAGTTGCAGTGGTGACTGGTATCATGTGGCAATGGGCTGGGAAGATAGACTGGGAGATTTTATTTGGGGAACAGAAGTGGAGATGGGCTTGACAAAATGGCAGAGAGGAAAAGCGAACGGCAGAGCCAGCCATCTCTGTTCCGGTGCTGGATTCCTGAGCGGCGGATGGGCAGGGTGTCCGTCAGCTGAGCTGCTTGTGTCATCAGGAAGAGACGGAAGATACGTTTAATTTATTGCCACTGAGACTGCGGTACATGAATGAGCTGGTCACCTGACCTCGCCCCACCTTAAGATGCCCGTGAACCTTGTCCTACAACCACATTATTACACACTAAAACTATAATAATACTGCCTTTACTCAGCGCAAGGTTAAAAATATCCCTCTTACGACACCCGGGCTGCCCCGTGATTACGCTCTAGAGGCTATAAGAGATGCCTTACTGTTTATGTTAATGACTCAATATTGGGAGTTCAGCTCTGCGTTCATTCTTATTAAACTTCTCATTATGCGGATTCCGTTCCTGACGGCTTGCTCGCTGATGGCAAGGTTGCAGATGAATTTATTAACTCATTTTCATTCACAAAGAAGATTACTTTATACCATGAGGTTTGTAATTAAAGAGGCACGCCCTGAGCCACTGCGCCTCCCTTTAATCTGAAACCTATTTGCTCTTTGCAGCCTGGACACGACCCCGGGGTTGGCGAGGTCCCCTCCCCCAAACCACAAGTCCCGCCCAAACATCCTGTTTGGATGCCCGTCCGAGGTGGTGAGTCTCCCAGTCTGACCACCTCTCCCACAGGGGAGGGAAAAGTATTCTTGGTCATCACCTCTTACACAGACACCGATACTGAAGACGGCAGCAATACAGCCAATGATAAACAGTAAAAAGAAATATATACTAATGGCCAAAAGTGTGGAAACACATCCAGTTTTTAGAGATTGCAGAACTTTATTCCAGTTACTCCAGTTACTTATGTAATCGTCCATTGTACGATATTTGTAAACATTCTATGATCGTTTATAAACATTACTGCCAGTATTCTTGCAGTAATTTTTAAAGCGAAACGCCAAAAATACTGGGTGTTTCCACAATTTTGAATACAGTATATGACAGCAATAGGGTTAAAGCTTGAGATTTCAGTGACAGCTTTCTACGGTGCTGCTTACAGTACTGTAATCCTGTACCTTGCATGATCATGGTAGTATATATAAACTTTCTCCCCAACCAAATGCCCAAGGTCTGTTCCATTCGATTTCATTGCTCCCCCCCACCCCACAAGTATTATTTTGCATTTTTTTGTAGATCTTATTTTGTGGGAGGGGATCCTGTCCATACTTAGTCAACCACTGTATTTTATACTCCCGCTGGCTCTGATTCTATGTACAATATACTTGTATATATTTCATTTACACGTATCCCAAACGGTTTGTACTCCACATCTTGTCTCATGCATATCTATGTCTGTATATTTTATTTGTTCATTTATTAATAGTACATTCTCTGTTTTCGTCTTTGTGTTGTTTTGCTTGTTTTTGCCTTGACGATGTACAAATTGCATAGCCGTGCCACAGTCATAACCACTGGCGTGTGCTGTTTCTGCATGGTGAATAACATGGGATTCTGATCCTGATACTTCCTTTCGTCCACCTTCTACCGCAGGGGAAGGCCGGGCGTCCATTACCCAGCAGAGAACGGAGACCCTTTCGTTCGAGCAGCCGTACTCTGAAGCAGCTGCCGCGCATAAGAGAGACGGGGAGTGCCGGGAGTGTCGGGCGCTCAGGAATGTCGGCGGAGAGATGCTGGTGCGTCCCCTTCTCCGAGCTTGTTTCACTCGTTCCGCCAAAACCAGCGTAGCCTCCTTCAGAAGATCCACTTTGTAGTGTTTCGGAAATGGCCGCACTCAAACGCTTCTCTCGTCTCTGTCTGCGCTGAAGAAGTTTCAGCCCCCCAGACCTAAGCTGGGCCTGACGGACGTGCAGGACCTGTCGTCGGAGGACATGGCGAAAATCGGGTGCATCGCTTTGATCGAGCTCACGACCTTCTACGACTGCCTGGGCATCGAGCTAAAGCAGAACCGCACGTTGATTCGCCACAAGGCCGGTCGAGGTTGGGCAGAAATTCTTTTTCCTTCCTCTTCTCTTGGGTCAGGCTGCTCTGTCTCCACCATCAGTGTTTCTGAACTTACCGTTCTTACTTGTTTCTCTGCAGAAAGTGGAATTTTCGGAGTTTCCCTTGTAACACTACTGGAAAATGACCGAAAGATTTTACCCGGTTCCAGGGTTCCACTTGTTTTCAGAAAGGTAAGACAATTTAAGTCTAAAAAGTACATTTCCCTTATTAGGACACACTGCCTGCAGCATGTTGTTGTCAAATTCCATAAAGAACAACATTTACCAAAAGTGGCTCTCAGAGTTTGAGCTTGTTTGTGTGTTTGTAGTTATTTATTCTTGAAATGTATGATCTCTGATGTGGAACATTAGCCATTCTGAGTGATTCAATGCTGTGATTTAGCTGTACACCAGGGTGTCCGGCAACGGGAAACAAGTCTCTGGTTGGGTGGGTATTTTCAGGTCTTTCAGAGGGGTTGGCCATCGCTGTCTCGATGTACCTCACGTCACGGGTCAGTTCGTCAGACCTGATGACAGCTAATCTCGTCCTTCCTGGAGGAGACTTGTGATTCATGGTATTCCTGTCTCCCAGAAAGGCTGAAACCCACAGATACTAGCTACCACCCCCCCCCCCCC